TTTTTTTTTTTTGTTCTGAAACGTTTCGCCTTCGATCCAGAAGGCTTCATCAGTCAAGGAAACTGTCCAGATGACCTGACTGAAAAATGTTGGATCAGTTCTCACGGTATGCATACTGATGAGGGTCCTCGTTGATGTTGATGGTTGTTTTGATGTGAGTCATGACCAGTTTTTCGAAGCATTTAGCGACTCTTGTGGTGAGAACCACTGGCCGATAGTCATTCAGACCAGTCACTGAAGAACTCTTTCAGCCTGGGATGATGGTGGTGATCTTCAGGCAGGTGGGAACTGTCTCCAGGGTAAGTGAGGCTTAAAGATGTCTGCCAGCACCTCGCAGAGCTGATGGGCACATTCTTTCAACACCTTCCCGGGGATGTTGTCTGGGTCTGTTGCCTTGTGAGGGTTAATCCTCCTGAAGGTACTCCTTACTTCTGCTGAGGTCACGCTGAGATGCTCTTCATTCGGTGGTGAGGTGAGTCTGGTAATGGGTGGTCTGTTTGGGTCTTCAGTGATGGGTCTCTAGGGCATTGTTCACTTCTTCCTTTATAATCTGTTATGCACTTAATGCCCCTCCACATGCTCAGAGGGTCTTGTGAGGAGAATTGACCCTCGATCCTCTGTGCACATGTGGCCTTGACATTCTTAATACCAGAAACCAGCTCTTTCCTTGTCTTACTCGGCTCCTGTGAGTTTCCAGACCTGAAGGCAGTGTTCCTGGCTTCCAGCAGGGTGCACACATCTACATTCAGCCAAGGTTTTCTGTTTGGGTAGCTTTTAACATATCTGATGGTGGAGACAATGTCAGTACATGTACTAATGTAACCCAGGACTGAGGATGTATATTGGTCCAGGTTTAGCGCTCTATTTTCAGCAGCTTCTCTGAAGACCTCCCAGTCTGTTCTTTCAAAACAATCTCTCAGTATAGGGCCACTGTTCTGGATCCAAGATTTAACTTTTTTTTTTTTGTACTGGTCTGGAGTGTCTCAGCGGGGGCATGTAAGCAGGAGCCAGGAAGATTGAGATATGATTAGATATTCCTAGGTGGGGGCGGGGTTCGCCCTTGTATCTTTTATATTTGTGTAAACATGGTCCAGCATGTTGTTCCCATGTGTTGGTATGGCCACATGCTGGTAAAATCTTTGGAGGCAGTCTTTTCGATTCATGTGATTAATTTAAAATCCCAGTTGCATCCAAAAATGGCAAAACTATAAAGTATAAAAAGAAACTGTAAATAAGGATCTGATATCCGATAAACACTAATGATGTAAAATAATATCTAAAACAGCAGCCTGAACATGTCTGTGGTGACCAGATGGGTATGAATGCAGCAGCTTAAAGGCAAGAAATCGGCAGCATGAATAATCAGCAGCACAGATAAGTCTCATCACCAATTGACACTAGGATGATACGAACCCTGAGATGTGGACAGAAAGCTCCTTTCAGCTTTGTTGTCCTCCAAAAGAATTGAAACTACAACGGAGTAAAGATTTTTGGAACACACTTGAGAATGGTAACTGGACGGTACTTATACAGCTCCTTCACCTAATCTAGATACTCGGATCTCTATACAACACACACTGTGCCCTAATTTACTTCCACACACATTCATACAACACTCTACAACGCACACATTTGTACAGGACTCTACTACACACAGCAGAGGCAATGAGGGGTTCAGTGTCTGGCCCAGAGACACTTCAACATGTGACAGCTGGTGGAATTGAACCCCCAACTCTCTCATTGGAGGACGACTGCTCTTACCACTCAGCCACAGCCGCCCCAAAGAAGAGGAGTAATGATGTGGGCTCTCTGTGACAAATCAAGATGATTCTTAGTCTTTAGGAACCATGGCCAGCACCACCCCTGGTGCAGAACTACAGGTCCTTCTCAAAAAATGAGCATAGTGTGATAAAGGTCATTATTTTCCATAATGTAATGATAAAAATAAAACTTTCATATATTTCAGATTCATTGCACACCAACTGAAATATTTCAGGTCTTTAATTGTTTTAATACTGATGATTATGGCATACAGCTCATGAAAACCCAAAATGCCTGTCCCAAAAAATTAGCATATTTCATCCCACCAATGAAAGACAAGTGTTTTTAATACAAAAAACACCAACCTTCAAATAATCATGTTCAGTTATGCACTCAATACTTGGTCGGGAATCCTTTTGCATGAATGACTGCTTCAATGCGGCGTGGCATGGAGGCAATCAGCCTGTGGCACTGCTGAGGTGTTATGGAGGCCCAGGATGCTTCGATAGCGGCCTTAAGCTCATCCAGAGTGTTGGGTCTTGTTCTCTCAACTTTCTCTTCACAATATCCCACAGGTCCTCTATGGGGTTCAGGTCAGGAGAGTTGGCAGGCCAATTGAGCACAGTAACACCATGGTCAGTAAACCATTTACCAGTGGTTTTGGCACTGTGAGCAGGTGCCAGGTCATGCTGAAAAATGAAATCTTCATCTCCATAAAGCTTTTCAGCAGATGG